TAGACTCCCTGGAGAAACAGAATAAAGACCCCTAACCCACTCCTCACATGGACCCACAGACTCTTTTAGCCGAGCATAAGAACTTCTTATAGTGACGGAATAGACTTCGTGGAATACACTCCTTACATTCACTGAATGCAGATCGCAAATGCAATCCTCACGCGGGAATAAAGACTCCTTGCAGGGTCATAAAGACGCCTCATAGCGACTGAATAGACTTTTTACATGGACGGAATAAAGACCCCGACTTTTCCAATGGACATAGAGCTTTTTCGCAGGACATGGAAGATCCTGATAGGGACATACAGAATCCCTTACCGGAGCATAAAGACTCCTCATAGTAGCGGAATAGATTTCATGGAATGCAGACTATATACAAACACAATCCTCACAAGGAAATAAAGTCAGGGGCATAGAGACATCTCATAGTGACTGAATAGACTCCTCACAGGGATGCAGACACTCCTTTTTATGGAAGAGACACCTTACACTGATGGTAGACTTCTCATAAAGTCCTCTCGGGGACATGGAGATCCCGGTAGAGATTATAGACTCATCGCACCGACAGATTTCCTCGCCGATTCTCGCGGGAATATTCTTTCAAATGCCTATATATACTGAGTTGCGATTCGGCATTCCGCCGTATAAACACAGCAGACATGGGCAGTTTAGATGCATGCTCAGCGCATCGGGCAATAGACCACGTTGTCATGACCTATAGACGAATTCAACTGGACTTACGTCACGTGGTGGCGCTGTCTTGGTAGGCAAAAGGCACTCTGCCTACCGCACTTTCTGCTGGGTTTTCAATGGTGCATGTGGTGTTTGTTCTCAGTCAGGCAACGAGGAAAAAAAAACGGTTTGCCGACGTGCTGTGTCGCGGTTGGATGTGAGTGGCGTCTCGCAACTTAGATTTGTTTGTTGGCGCACATCGCAGCCCTCGGCGCTTATGGCGGAAGTTACGTGCGGACGTCGCTATAATTTTACCCAAAATGTCGACATCGGCCTACCTGTGCTTACAAACATGGAATGGGTCTATATGATCTACTGTAGAGTGCATGCTTTAGTCAGCTGCAAATTATTATCTTGGTAGACTTGTATACATCGCAGCACACTGAAGAAATGCATACAGTGACCCGGCCACTTTCACGGCTTACGTAACAAGCTCTGCGTTCAAATGTGAGACGTAAGATATTTCTAAAAATTGCCGCTCCCTCGCAATCAGAATGTTGCAGGTTGGTTCCCTTGCCGGCAGTAACTTATCTTTTTGTTCACTTTGTTTTCTTCACATGTGTGCATCATAATTACTAAAACATCCCCCAGCACTTTGCTTTCTTGTCTTCTAGATCTAATTAATATTGCGTAATTGAAAACTCATATACAAGTCAGATATCAGAAGAGATTTGAAACTGGAATACTTTTGTGAGCTATCCTTTCGTTTATAAGAGGATTTGTAATTACGTGAAAATTTCTTTTATCAAACTAGAAACGACAGATTCGCCTTTTTTTTTTTAGATTCGCGGTATACCCCGTGTAACCGAATGAACAAATATCAGTTTTTTTGTTTGTTTTTAAGAAGCATTGAGTTTCTATCATCCCAAATGCGTCCTCGGTATGTTAGTGCGCTGCTTTCTTAAGAGATATTTTTGCTTTATTCGCAAGCAGTTCTTCATTTCTCATTTGCGCACCATAACTCGTGAATTAGCAAAATGTTTTCTTGAGCTATTTGGTTAATTACTTTTGAAGTAGCTTTGTGCTACAATTTTTTCTTCAGTGCGTAAATTACACTTTGTTTCTCATTTTGGCATTGTTTTTTTTGTAGTTTTCCAAATATTGTTTTTTTTAACTGCTCTTGTGATACCCGTCGCTCGTTTACGTTTTAGTTCCCTTCGTTAGTGGTAGTGTCGCTTTCACATAATCGCAATGTTTGTACATTGAATTCAAACATTGCGGCATTTTCTGTGGTCAAGTATACAATAATATGCATAATATGCTGCGTATAAGAATTATGTGGACATTGCACAGATTCTACACCAAGTTTTAAGCACATTCGCGTATGTATAAGATAACAATTCTACGAGTACTGATCAACTGCGACAGCAGGCTGTCGTAAATATGACAAACACGTCAGACGTCTGTGACTATATATTCGACGGCTTCCACGGCGAAAAAATCCGTCACAAACAACAAATCGACGCAGTGCAGCGTATACGAACTTCACTCTATAGACGGTTTACGATTTCGTACTCTCGTCTCCTTGGAACGGCGAGCACTTCGGCATGCAACATCTGCGCCTGCGAGGAAACGCTTGAGCCCATTCTATGTCATTGCCCAGCATACCAGACCGAACGACGTATTATGGAAGCCAAGCTCTGTCAGCTGGATTCACGGCCGATTACAGAAGAGAAGTTTCTGGGACCTTGGCCGACGGCTTCCCATACGCGCAAAGCCACGAAAGCCCTCTTGTACTTCTTAAGGACCACCAGACTTCACGACCGCTTGTGAAAGAACTGTGCGAGGCCGAGCTGTGTAGTCTCGAGCTGACTATTTATGCTTCTTTTTCTTACTCCTCTTCTTTTCTGTCTCTTTCCGTTCTATTATTCTCCTTTTGCTCCACCCCAAGTGTAAGGTAGCCAACCGAGCCAAGCTTGGGTAACCTCTCTGCCTTTCCTCTCTATCTCTCTCTCTCTCTCACTCTACACGGCAGCTGGTTGAGCCAGTGCTGTGAGTGGAACATATCGATAAGGTCGTCTTTATCGAACACGACTTGGCAAATGAGACGAGCCACCACATGTATGGCAAACCTAACGATGACATGGTATATTTAGGAGTGGTATGTCGCTCAAGCTAAACCAACAAGGCCGCATTCGTACAGCATTCTTCAGACGGATGTCTACCGTTTAAAGAAATGTCCACTCCCAATAAACTAGGAGTTATATAAACAGGTATACTAAAACAGAGCAGACAATGTCAATGGTTTTTTTTTGTTTTTGTTTGTCTGAATTGGCGTTCAAAATGTCAAGACGCTTCTTATTGCTCACAGTGTTACTGTGTGGCGTACCTTTAAGAAAACAAGGGCGTAAAATACCATGGCTCTTTCATAAAATAAATAAGTTTGCATACGAAAATGCTTCTGACGACAATAACAAACAACCAGCGGGGGCGTTTAACAATTACAAATTCATTGTATTTTCTGTGATCGCTGTATTCATATTGTACCACATGTCGTTACAATACGTATAATTGGCCGCACTATTACTGGCGCATTGTTTGTTGTCCCTCCGACGGACCTGACTGGATGTCGCTCGGTTAGTGATTATGCAGAAAAACACGAAACAGATAAAAAATTTAGTTTGGATACCCGAAACACAATGATCGAATGCGGCTATAGTAATATGAAATTTTCAAGACTGAGCCAGCAGCGACAGACACCTAGCACCTTTGGTTTTGACAAAGCATTCTCATCTTCAATCTGTAAGATTGCAATTATATCTGGAACACATGCGATCCCCAATAATGGCTAAGTAAGGGTTGATCTACAGCTAAGTATATATACATATGTATGCACAACTTTTCAGCCTCTCGGTAAAAGTTGTTTGCTGTAAATGTATCATCATTTGTTCAAACGTGGGATCTGCAGCCCGTGTGGAACACCATATTGCAGTCAGTATACGTTGGAAGTAGAACAAGCATGCTTTCTAGAGCACGACGTTTTCAATAGTCACTAAGGTAAGATAAATAATTTCTGTATTCGTAGCGAAAAGACCTTAGATGAAAACGTATAGAAGCCAGCGCACGATGTTCTCATGCAACTCACAAGTGTAGAGCGATACCTGTAGCGAAGTCTATCACTGGACTTAAAGCTGCAAGTTACATCTGTCCGACATTAAAGATGTTTACTCTTCCTCCTCCTACATCTGTCCCATGACTTTCATTACCCTGTCTATATAGGAATACATTTTGCAGCATCTCAATGGAAGACGCACACGTGTACACAAGCAACAGTCCACCCATGCAGCGGCGAAAAATTATACGAAATCATCCCGGTTTGGCAAGGTGTGAAGTGCTCGTACAACAGCAGATGTCATGTCTTTGCATGTATCTAGTCGAACCTGGCCCTCTCGACTTCAATAGAACTTACGCCCAAACCTTGAGTCCCGTAACGTACAGACGTATCGTTTCCTTAACAAGTCAGCAACGCGCTGCGCATTCATGCATGCACTAAGCGCCTCTGAGTATAGGACACATGTATCTTTTCAAATGGTATATCGGGTTCTCATAATGTGGTGACGCAGTTCAGAAAAAAAAAACTTCTTCGCAGTGCATGTCTGTGTGATATATTGAATACCTGCAAATGGTTTCAACTGTGGTAAAACAAGGAGAGCAGAAGAAGAGAAGACAGCACGTTGCCCTCGTTGTGGCGCAGTTAAAACAATCGCAGAATGAACGTAAACCAACTAGCCCCAACTTGGTGCTCTTCAGCCATATCTTGAACACTTCTGTGTGCACGAACACGGCCCGAGCATGACGGTGCCCCAAAAAAGTGCCGCCATATCCACGAAGTGAATTATGATGAGTGGGCGAAGCTCCGGAGGTAAACCATGAATCCTCCGTAAATTTTGCCCACTCTATTCATTACAATGCTCCCCCTAGCGTACGTCACCGCACTTAATCGAATGATTGCCTTCCGCCAATGACACGCGCCATATGTGACATCATTCCTATTTTACAACATCTCGCATCTTTCATCATCAACTACAGGTACCGCCGTCTAGTTTATAAAATCTTGCGTCTTTTTATCCTCAGCTACAAGTACCACCAGTCTAGTGAACACTGCAAAAACTAAACGAGAGGTGGCTACATACAGGGGACGCACAGCTCACGCCTTAAGGAGCTTCGCCCCTAAAAAAAGTTAGGGTATCGCTGCAAACGCAAAGAAAGCATGCGCTCCACAATCGCACACATGGGAGCGTTTCACTGGTGCAGCGACACTGGCTTACCTGTCTTTGGCCTCGGCGGCCCTGTCCCGTTGCCTGCGGTTCTTGAACCAGTTGCTCACTTGCGTCGTCGTCAGTCCCGTGGCCTCGGCGAGCTCCCGCTTCTCCCTGGGCGACGGGTACGGGTTGTGGGCGTACCACTCTCGCAGGATGTTGCGAGACTTCTCCTTGAAGCAGTAGCTGGTCTCCTCGCCGTCCCATATGGTGCGGGGCAGAGGGAACTTCCTGCGAATCCGATACTTCCCAACTGCGCCCAGCGGCCGACCCCGTAGCCGCTCGGCCTCGATGTAGTGCGCCTTGAGCCAGAGTGCCTGCAGCTTGGGGTGCGAGGCAGCGGAGAAGTGATGGGATTCCAGGATTCGGTACAGTTCCTTGAAGTTGCCCCTGTGGAAGGCCACCAGGGCCTTGGCCTTCAGCACGCTCTCGTTCTTCTGCAGGTGCTCGCAGGCGGGCAGCGACCACAGGAAGCGGCCCAGCCGCTCGATGTTGCCCGACTGCTGCAGCACCTCGCACTACGCAGGCCACTTGCTCCTGGGTGAAGCCGAACGAAGGGAGCATGCTCGCCGATGAGACCACGCCGGCCGATGGACCGAACTGCATGGACATGCACAGATCCGAAATACGATGGTGCCCCGGCTGCTTTATCGGCAGATTCTGCGTGAGCCGTGAAGGATTAGATCTCTCGATTAAGAAAGAAACACCCTATGACGGGGAACGACGTCTCGTCTTTCAAACCTTCCCACTCAACCCCCCGGTGGGCCTCTAGCGGCGAAGCACAGCCGGGAGGGATGATCACAACACCGACTGGTCGTCGGTTGACGGGGACACCAGCGAAGCCGTCGACAGCCCGATGTCGTCGACCTTTTCTCGCTGGTCACGTGTAGAAGTAGTAGTCCGTGGTCGGTGGACTTACGGTAGGGACACATTCACAACGGCTGCGGTAGGTGTCGCGACGCTGGAGCTACACCCCCGGTGCGGGGACAACGGACCGCCACTGTCGCCGGCTCCACTGGTGACGATCCTGCTGTGGCCGTCGTAGCGACGTTGTCGTCCCTGCTGTTGCCTGCCACGACGTTGTTGCCGCACAACACATCACTGCCCAAAGCCCTCTCTTTCGTGATTCTTCGTCACCCCTGCAACTCGTGATCACTATCTTTCCAGGCTCCCCCTTTCCATCCCTGTCACACGCACGTCCTTCACTCTCCCCACCCACTGCGGCCTTTCGTAAGCGACCGAAAGACGACGTCTGAACGGACGACCGAGCTCTGGTTCACACTCGAGGAACACGGCCGACCTCGAGAACTGTGCCACGCCGATGCTGCGGGACGGTTGCCTGCCAACCCAACTGATGCCGCGTGCCTTTTCGCGGCGCAAACCGTTCTTCCCCCACTGCCAGCCCTGCGAGAGCGGGCTGGTCTGGCGGCGTGGTGCGGCTGGCCCCCAGTCAACCCTCCGATAAAAAAAAAAAAAAATTGCGCCGCCTCCCCCTTCCTAACGTCAGCAGCTCTCTTCCTCCCCCGTGGTAGGTGCCGCCGCCGGCCGCTGCTGCCCCTCGGTGGCGGTGGGTTTCGCGGTTCGGCCGGTAGGGGATTAAAAGGCGGTACCTTCGCGGGCCGGCGGGCGGTGACGATGCGGTTAGGGCGGGTTTTCCGCAGGCCTACGATCCCCCGTACGTATAACATCGGTCCTGCCCGGGCACTTGAAGTGGTGGTCGCCGTTCGATCGCCCCTTCTGTTTGTCCCTCTTTCCTTTTTCCCACTCCACTCAACGAATCGACGATTCTCCTCCTCTCCACCACCCCTCCACGTTTTTGCGTTTTTTTTTCTTCGCTACTAATCTATCGAGTACACCCCACCACCACACCCTTGCTTCTATCCACCTCTTCAACGCTCTCCTCCCCGCATCACTTCTTTGTCGTTCATTGTAACTATCACGTACTCGGAAAAAGAAAAACGTCCACGTCGCCAGCCACGTCGATCGGTGGACCGGCTGTCTCGCTCTCTTTTTTCGTTATTTTCGCAGGCACGTCAATGTGCTGGTGGTGGTGGCGGCGAGAATCGCGTGCAGCGAGGGTAGCAGGAGGCACCGAGGACGAGACACCCAAGGGGGTGACATTAATGCACCTTTTTTTTTTCTCGCTACGCCGGTGGTTTTGCGCCGCGACAACGCGTTTCGATTGGCTGTCGCCATGATGACGTAGCGACGCCCGGGCTCCGCCCGCTCCACCTCCCCTCCTACTCCGCCTGCCTTCCGCGCGTCGGTGGAGGAGCACCATGGGTGTTTTTTTTTTTTTCGCACTTCACTCCATTTTTTTGGTTGCTATTCCTTTCGGAAGCGGTTGTCTTTCTCGCTTCACTCGTGAGACGATTTCCTCTTCGCGGCACGCTGCTGTGCCATTATTTTTTTTTACTTGTCGATCTGTCGCCTCTCAGTCATGTGATTCTTTTTCGCTCGGTGTTTATGTTTCTCGGTGTGTTCGAATTATGAGTTGCCGCCTGTTTGACATGCGCGTCGTTGACAGGGGCGTCGGGAACGCGCTTCTTCGCCGAAACAGTGGCCAGAAAAGAAAAAACACACATAATAAACACATATCTGGCTCACGAATAGCGCGAAACGTGGTTCCTTGATGCCCGATGCCCTTTTTCCGCGGTTTGCCGTGGCTGCTGAAACGTTTGGGGCTCCCGACTGAGGACTAATCTTTTGTTGTGAGCATTGCCTGGTGAGGCACGTGGTCAGGCGGGCGGGTGTAAGATTTCCTTCGCCCGCCTTTCAATGAAGTTGCATTTTCGACGCCTGCCGCTCCGAGGTATCGTATGTTACCGATGATTACCGAAGTGATACGCTCCTTTCTTCGCGCACACGTTCCGTTACGTTACGTTATTTTAAACGGTGTTTTCGGATACCATTTCCCTTCTCTCGTATCCCTTTTGTGGCATCAGTGGATCCCAACTCGTCAGACGTGTAGTAAAACCGTACCGAGGAGTGTCGTGTTACACACGGTGTATTGTATTTAGGCGATAACGGTGTAGAAACGACACTTCTTCGAGGCGTTCGTTCTGTCTTTTGTAAGCGTCTTATGATCTCCGAGTGCATCATTTCTTGACAGTTGAGGTACTTAGAAAAGAAATTTACCGTAGCCCGGATCTGTCGTAGGGTCGTGTCGTCGTCCACATCGTTGTGGTGGTGTTTTAGTTACAGTTTTCGAGTCTGCTGTGGTCACACGAATTGGTTTCAGACGGAGCTAGGATTATGAATAAGCAGTAATAATTCTTTAAAAAAATTGCCCTCTTCTCGTGTTTAATGTCAGGGTGCAGAAAGTTAAGAAAAAAAAATATCCAGTAGCCGAAACATAACCAGTGAAATGATGTGTCCCGTACCGTTTCCTCTTTTTTTTCGGCAATAACACATTGAATGGCGTTGGTGCCTTGTGCCTCACTAACTTGTTGCCCACAAGTGTTGGTCGGCAAGCGACGGCTTTCAGCTTTCCCATAGTAGAGTATACCGAGTACTCTAAATCGTTAACCACTTTTTCTAAACACACCAAGTGTACCCTCGACACGTCGTTCTATTTGAGGTCTGACCTTTTGAAAATAAGGTAAAAAAAACAATGACTGGGGTAATTTATAGTAACGCTTTTATTCACCCTAATGGTAAGAACCTGACTTTGAATGTCATGTCCAATATTTGTTTGTGTTTTCCTATAAACGGCACTTATGAGCCTGTAGGCAGAGCATTACAATTGAATGTTCTTTTTGCTAATAATCTTCCGATCTCAATGGCAGTTTCAGGTAGACGTGGTTGCATTTCTATGTCCTTTGCACTATACTATGATAGCATGCATGAGGCAGACATCTATTACTATACACTTTCGCGAAAATATCAACTGTCAAAACTTTTCTTTGCCGACTAACCGCTTGGTCTCACTTTCTAGCTTATACTATGCCTCGATGTTAAATAGGAATACAGTGAGAAGAATTATTTGCTAGTGCCTATATTCCAAAGTTAGTAAACATACTGTAAACTTGACGTTTCCAATTTTCTGATACAGGACACCGTTATATAGCCGGCGGAGAAAAGCTTGAGTACGTGAATAAACTTCACAGCTTCTCTCTGTACGATTTCAAAAAGGGTAATGTTCGTTTTATCAAAGGGGTTTCAAATTATACAATTTAAAGACTGGCGTCGCGCCTGAGGCTCAAGGAAATAAGGATCAGTGAAAGCTCTCTCTGTAGGTGCACTTACTGAGAGGGTGAGGGTAGGCCATCCTAACGCAACGACACCATATTTTACAAAAACGAAAATCTTATTAAAGTTCTATTCTATCCCTCACTTTGTCACAGGCTGGAATAATTCTTTGTTGCTTTCTGCCCTATTGTGATGCTGTCATACTGCATTAACTTTTTTTATTTACCTCATTTCTTGTTTTTTATATATCCTTACCCTGATTAGACCGGTATAAAGTTTTCAGCATTGAACAAAGAAAAAAAACCGAAAAACGAATGTGGTCATGTTGAGCGTTCAGACAAAAAAGAACATAACGATAAGAGCGGCAATTGTGGTTTAGTGCGGACAAGTTCGGTTTGCTGACAAGGGCATATTTTGTCGGCTGTATATTGTTTTCTTTTTGTTTGAAGACTTCTCATCACTTGGTATATAGACGTTGACTTCGACAATTAGGTTCCTAAATTTTGACACCAGGCTGATATTTACAATCCATAAGCGTTCAGGTAATGAGAAAAAAAAAGGTCAGAGCTTCTCTTGAAACACCAGGCATTTGGTTTTAGGCCCATATATGTTATGTTTAGCTATATATGTGATGTTTAGGGTATATATGTGATGCAGGTTATCTGTACGTGCACCGTTAGGTTGTTGCTAGGCTTTAGCTAGGTAATGCTGGGTTATTTCTCCTTTGATACTTGGCGCAGAGAGATTCGAATTCAACCACGGACGGTCCCAGACACGTCACGGATTCCCAAACTACAGAGACGAAAGTTTGCACGGAAACATACACGAGTTCACACCTATCATAGTGTATACCGCCACGTCGTCATTGGCGTAGGCCTTCCAGAAATTTGGGGTCTTCTCAGGGCCACCGTTGCCTTTCCCATTCCACAGTATATACTCGTTGTACCCACTCGGTGTCTTCGGCTCGCCACCGTTGCTCTGCAGCCATTTGTTGATTGATTGATCGATGGATTGATTGTTTTTCCCTCTATCGTGTTAATCGTTGCCTTCTTCTTTTTCACTGGATCAGAGTTGAGCAGTGTGATATACCCAATTTCTTGGCACATAAGCGATAATTATGATTATGGCTTTTTGGCAGGCCCCACATATTACGGCTAGCTTAAGCAGCTTGGCTATTAAAACGTCAGCCAGGGCCCGTAGACTACGTTTCAGAAGCAGCAAAAACACCTCTCTGAAGCTGCACACGTTCATTAAGGAGAAAAAATTCGGCACCCCCCCCCCCGTACCTAGGATATTGATGCTATATATGCGAAGCAGTGTAGAGGGAAGGTGACCATGTTGTAATTTTTGTTATAGAGGGACACGCTACGAAATGACGCTAAATATATCTTCGAAGGCAGTTTATGTGAGCTTTGTGGAATATTCAATAACGCAGTTTTCAGCTTCAAATGTGTGAATTTTTGTACACACTCTCGCAACGTGCTTGTTTTTATCTCACCTTCTTGACGTATATATCTCGCTCGTTCCAGTGCCACTGCTCAAGAAGTTAAAACCTAAATGTGTTTTCATAACCACAGATAAACAGTTTGATGAGACATGTAAACATAAAATGCGATACATTTTTGGGCATTTAAATGAATTTCTGTTCTTTAACTTCGGTAACACGAAGGCTAAAATAAGATTCGCAGCGCCACCCAGCTTTTGCGAGAAACGTCTGAACCATCTCATGGCCGTTCAAAGCTGTCATGCAGCAGCGCTACAACTACATCGAGTCGATAGAATTGTGGCATTTGTGACACACAAAAAATCTCTCAAAAGTGATTGTGCCACGCTGGTATGTGAAAGCACAGCTTATATGATCGATAGATGAGAAGCGCACCAAGCAAGATGTTGTCAGGGGAATACGGCATTTTTTATGCTAGATACCAGCGTACATATATCGGTCCGAAACATTTGTAAGTATGTATTTACATGGACACTTGTGTGCTGTTAATTTTATTCTTATACTTATTCCGTAAATGTATTTCAACTCTTTCGAAAACTACCGGAAGTTTTACATCACTCTATAGTACAGACGTAGCTTTCGTGCATTTCTCAACATCTGTTAGTCTATTTTTGGGTGTAATGGCGCTAATGCTTCAGTATATGTACCAGGAGCCCCTTTGTACTCGTTAATAATTAATTGATTAATTAATACGTGTGGTCCTATAGTAAATGC